TCCCATCTTGTAGAATGGAAAATCAACTGTTGATGCTTCTCCCGTTGGAAGAGAGACCGAGGCATTGCAAAGGCTGAGAAAATTTACAGCCGAATGCAAAGGAAAACCACTCAAGGGATCCAAGAATGGTGCCAACGAGAGCATATTTGGCACGAACTTTTCCTGCAAAATTTCCTCATGGCTTGCTATAGGGTGCCTTTCTCCTCACTCCATGTTTGATCAGCTTAAGAAGTCTACTTCAGGGTATGTTAAAGTAACTCATTTTGTTTCCTCCTCTTTTACAAGTTCCCCTGAGGTGGATACATGCTTCCTCAATTTAATAAATGCTTGCGATTCTCAGTGTAATCTCTGCTGCCTTCAACGAGAAAGATGGTGGCAGTAGCTCATCAGATAGTGGCTTGAACTGGTTGATGTATGAGCTTCTATGGAGGGATTTCTTTAGGTAACTTGATACGTAGTCAGGCTCTTTTCAACACTCTAGGATTTTGTGTATTTGTCAAGTGTCATTACAGAGAAAAATGAAGATATAGTACTCTCTAGTCTCCATATCATGTAGAACATTGTATTTTGTGGCCTTGCATACTATTGGCCTGATGGATATTTTTCATTTATCTTAATGGAGAGGCCAATGCCCTTGCATTCCTTAAAAAGTATATATATCCCATCCCCATTTTACACTCCAACTTGTATATTATATCTGGATTATAACTCTTAGAAATCTGTACTGATTTTCCTGTTTTTTGGTTTGTCAGATTCATCACTCGGAAATACAGTTCTGGGAAACAACAAAATGATGCTCCGGTGACAGCTTGTACCAGTGCTGCAGCTTAAGAAGACTAGACGAAAAGTGATTTGGGATTTGAGACCACGTTTTCTTTTGTATCCTACTGTCCATTCAGGTTTATAGTTTTTTTGTTATTGAAATGGGGCTTTATTTTCTCTCCATTATTGTGTTTGGTTGCAAAAGAAGTCTGAACATGGTTTTACCATTAGTAAGCCAGTGTGTCTGGCTTTTTGATGTTTGTTTGCCTGGTATGGAAGCAGTTCATTTGGGTTCTGTTATCTACGGTATGCCATGTGTTTAAACAATAAAAGAAATATATGTAGACTTTTTCCATTTTCTAATCGAATCCACGCAATTGAAATTTTTGTCGCTTTTTGTTTCTCATTGGTCTTTTTCAAATCGAATTAGCTAAATCTATGTCTCTTTACATAATATGGTACTCATTTCATGAACCAAGTTATTTTAAATTGCAGTGTAAGGTTGAAATCAAAAAGCCTATATATTTCATTCGTTTGGAGTTCTATGTATTCTAAAGGTTCCGACATCTCTCAATGTCTACTAATTTTCTACAATATCAGTTTGTTGAGATTCGTAATGTCTTTAACGTATTTTGTGGTTTTGAAAGATGTTCGACTCTGATAGGCGAAGGACCATTGCATGCATGCAAACAAACAATTACGTGCAGAAGTGAGGCCCACTAACAATTATGTACAGATGTGACGGACAGTTGCATCATACATGCATGAAAACGAGGCAACTAACAACTACGTGCACAAGGAAATTGGTCACCAGTGGTTGCTAGTGTTATGTTATTTTATTTCCGTTTGTTATGCTTTGTTTTACGTGTGTTAGTTCCAATTGTTAGCTGTTAGTTTCTCTTTTATTTCAATTCATTTGTATGTGGCATTGCCTATTTAAGCAGCCAACTTGGTTAATGAAAATCATCAAGTATTTTGCATTAAAAAATTGTGGTACGTCCTCACACAAAGATATCAAAAACTATGGTATGTTCTCACCTGAAGAGAATTAATTTCTATCCATTTTTCTGGCATCTGACTGGGACCTATCAATTGGTGTCAGAGCAGGTTTTTAATGGCAACTAATAGAGATCATGATCTTGAGCAGTTTGAAAGAAACTTGAACTTTGTTCGAGACTCTCTTAAGAGCTTTTGTATGGAGACGCAATTCTAGATTCGTGACTTGAAAGAAAAGCTTGTGGAGGTCATTAACTCCTTAGTGGGGATGAAAGCTTCCATGGAGCAGTCTTCCTTGCATACTTTCGAGAATGGCTCTATGTTCAAGGAATCCGACAAGTCTCGCATGGAGAAGTTATACTTCCCTCGTTTCTCTTTTGATGGTTCCACCGAGTGGCTAAACCACACCATAGCCACTCACAACCGATTTTATTGCATTTGTTTGACGCAAATAAATCTAAGGTTTCAGGAGTTAAAGAATGCAAGATGGTTTTGCTGGTGGTGTTCTAAATGGAAAGGCCAAGACAACGTATGTGAAGAGCCACGACATGACCAGGTGGTTTGTGGTTTGCCATGCTTCAATCTTGGTTGTTTCTGTCTCAGTTGGTTTTTGGGGATCTATGGGTTTAGGCTTTTCTCTGGTACCAGTGACAAGTTGTAGTTTGCCTTTGCCACTGAGACATATTATTACTGACCTGGACCAGGGAATATAGTTTTTGTTGCCATTGAGGACAATGGTTGTGAGCTTGGTGCTATCAGTGTGTTGAGACATGTTTTTTTTTTTTTGGTATGTACCGA